TATTCTGAGCTAGAATTTTCTGATTTTACATATCTGAAATTGATGAATGTATAATAGTTAACTTTATAGATATAGGAAAAACCCTGAGAACTAAAAGTTCTCAGATAGATGTCATAGTGTAAGAGGCCTACGCCGAATAGATCAGTATAATATTGATAGATCTTATATAACAAAGTGTAAGAGGCCTACACTGAATAGATTAGTATAATATTGATAGGTCTTATATAACAAAGATAAAAACATTAGAGAAGGAAAGAAAGAGAAAGTGTAGAAATCAGCAATTGAGATGAATATTTATACATGTATGTGATGATGTACACAGTGAAGCTTCGGGGTGGAAGAATCTATACATGTTCATGATAGCTGAGAATTGATGATCGAGAATGAAGTGGAAGAATCTATGAAGTGTAACAGAATAGTCTATATAATTGATCAGGTGCAGCCCGCCACATTAGCCCCTCTCTTTCAGAAGTAGTTCTCATCAGTCAAGAGCTGCTGTTTCAGATAACACAGAACTCAGAGTACAGGTCAGTTGATTATAGCTGACTCATTTCATGAGATATTGTCAGCTGCGGCTGTGAGGTCTCTTATCAAGAATATTCTCAATCTCTCACTCAAGCTCATTATCTTCTTCTATGATGCCTGGTGACTGTCAGTCAGAAGTCAGTTGAGAAGAGAATGAATCAGTGACAGCACAGTGTAACAAGCTTGTATGAAATACATTATGAATCTCTAGTGATGTGTCAAGATGATAGTTGTAACTATCTAGAACTTCTATCACTTCATATCTGATATGATGGTAATCTAGTGTATAAGATGAACATGTGATTTATATGTTCTTAAGATTCAATCATATCAGATCTTCTATCTTATATTGTTTGACAGAGTCTTCATAAACATTGATTTGATTCTCTTGATTCTGTTTCACAGTTGTCATAAAGACCTCTGCTCAATCACAGACATCTCAGAGCTTTATTACTATATTATCAGTGATCTGAATCAGACTGTGAGAGTTCAGTATGAACTGTGTGATCTCTAGAAGATTTAACACTTGCATATAATAACTGTGTATAAGAAAGAACAGGCTTATATCTGTTGAAACAGCATCTCATTCATTAATAGCAATCTCTGTGTGTAGAAGCAGATCATGTTAATCATCTTATAAGTAATTGCAGAACTTACAGAGATAATTCTTTATAGTCTGAATTGTCTGTTCTGATGTATTATCAGTCTCAGAATAATAGACAGTTGATAGACAGTGTATAATCTTAAGAACTTGACAGATTCTTATTTAGAGAGTACTTATAAATTAATGACTCTGATCTGATACTATGAATCTCAGCAATTCATATATCTGATAGAATAAGCTCTGTAGAAAAGCTTCAGTGACTTGTTCAGTATTTATCTTATCACAAGATTTTAATATTATATCTTTGCTTAATCAGTTCACAATGATCAGAACATTTCTACAACTCTTACTCTCAGAGAGATTAATTATGAAGTCAATTATCACATCTCATCAGATTCTATCAGAAATATCAAGTGATTTCAGTAGATCTTTTCTATGATTCTTTTATAAAATAATGAAAGAACAATGATTACAGTTTTAAATGAAATATCTGATACTTTTTGATATCTCAGATCAGTAGAACTCTTGAGAGATTATTTAATACAATTATTTATAATCTGAATAATCAGTTATACACAAATCATACATCTTTTGCATTATTCAAGTGTGTAAGAATTCAGAGTAGAGAACTTAATATTGTTTACAGAACTACAGAGTATTATCTCATTGATTGAATATTCTGAGATATCAGTTCTTATATGTAATTCTGAGAGAAATTGAGATGCTTCTTGATATACTGCTTCAGTGAGAATCTGAAGAAGTTCATCAGTCTAAGCTGCTGTATGTCACAGTTCATTCAGTGTAGAGAAAGTGAAGATATTAATATCAGTGTCAGTTTGAAGAGAGAATGTTCTAATCAGAGAAATATATATAGTGTTATAAGTTGTTCTATCTTGATCAATCAATATCTTCAGATCTAAGAGCTGGTGTTCTCAGTTTATTCAGTATGTATCTGTTATATTGAGCAGTATATCTTATTCTCATCATGAGAGAGCATCTACCATCGAGTTCTAACTGTCAGAATGATAGTGTATTGTAAAATGAAAGTAGCTTAAGAACTCAGATCATCATATCTATTATTCAGTGAGTTTACAGATAGTTATAAAGTATTTAAGATTCTTATAATCTGTGATTATCTCAAATTCAGAGACACTTTGAAGTTCAGAGTCTCATTCTTCTAAATAATATACAATCATGAGAAGTTTCTTGTCATAGATCTCATAGTTACATTCAGTGAAACTAGACTGACTGCTGAGATCATGAATTTCACATTTGATCTCATTTGATCTGATCTCATACATTTCTTGGCGTGAATCCCGCTGGGACTGGCTATCAAAAAAACATGTAAAGTGACTATATATCAGATCTTAAAATGAAATCATAACTTGAAAAAAATGAGAAAGTGATTTCATTTGGTTCCATTTAGTCCCATTCTTAGCATAAAGTTACTATTTTTAGACATTTTAAGGTTTTTTTTAGACTATTTTTAATTTTTTAAAAAGTAACACTTTTTGATAACACTCAAATAAGATTTAAAGTCATTTAAAGCAATAAAAATAATTTAAATTAAGAAGTGAAAATCATGATTTCATTTGAAAAATGTGACAAGAGTAGACAGTAAGTCTCACTGAGACAGTATGAGACTACTATCTAATATTAAAACCATGTAATGAGATCAGTTGAATTGATAATGAGACTATCAAAAAATCTGGTTCTGGTCTCAGATACAGTCACACGGTCAGTCTAAGTAAAACTCAGTTTCTTAGATATGAAGACACATGATTGTAGAACATCTTCATCATCATATTACAATATCACTTCTTCTATTACATAGTCAGAGAAATCAGCTTTAACAACTGTTTCATAATCAGAATTAAATGTTATCAGCAGAGAGATATTAATGAATATCTTCTTCATCTATATAAATACAGCTTTAACATCTGCTAATTATTGAAATACTAAGTCTTTTCTAGTGAGTTCTGTAAGTAGTCTCATAATATCTGAGAAGTTTTGTATAAATTATTAATAGAAGTTAGCAAATCTGATGAAGCTTTGTACATCTTTCAAAGTGTGTGAGACCTCTCATTCAAGAATAGCAGAGATCTTCTCAGAATTCATTTGAATTTTCTTACCAGCTTCTATGATGAAACCTAAGTATTTAGTACTCTTGACTTTGAAATCACACTTGTCAATATCAATTGATAGTTCTGCTTCTTATAGTTGTTGTAATACTCTTTACACATACTCTTGATATTTCTTTCTGAATTCATTGATGAAGATGAGAATGTCATCTAGATAGGCAGATACAAATTCATTAAGAAAGTCTCAGAGTGCTCAGTTAATATACTTCTGAAATGTACTGAGAGTATTGACCAGTTCAAAGAGTGTAACTACTCATTCAAAGAGATCATATTATGTTCAGAATGCTGTAAGTCACTCATCTTCTTCAGTGATGTGAATTTTATGAAATGCAATGATGACATCTAACTTTGTAAATCATTGAGCTTGTTCAATATGAGTTAGAGTTTTATTGATAAGAGATAAAGAATAACAGTCTTTCTTTATTAATCTGTTCAATTCTCAATAATTCATGCAGAATCAGAGTTCTTCACCTGGTTTCTTTGCAAAGAGAATAGAGACTGTGATGAAAGAGTTGCTGACATGTATAAATTTCTTATTCAACAGATCATTGAGTGTCTTTCAAAGAAGAAGAAGTTCATCTCAGAACATGTTATAAAAAGAGTCTTATGACAGTTCAGAATTCTTATCATTCTTTTTCTCTAACTTGATACTGTGATCTATTTCAGAACCTTGTAAGAGAGATATATTTGTAATATTATCTTATCAGAAGACATCTAGATATTTGTAACATAGCAGAACCGAAGCGGTGGCTAGTCAGCAGTGACATGTAGAGGTAGTTGTTTGAAAAGCTGTATAAGTGAGCTTGACTATCTTGCTTAAATAGCGAGCTCATAGGCTACAGAGTTATTGCGAGGATATCACAGATATAATACTTAGTATACTAAGAAGATTGTATGAGACATGCAGTAACTCTCATATATATTTCAGTAGAAGAAAAATAAATCACTGACTTCTTTCAGGAAGAGTCAGCATCTAGCTATTCTATATAGATAATGAGTGAATATCTTCTCTCATTTCATGAGTGAGAATAGCTGAAGTGATACCTCAGCAGTGCCTCACTGTCAAGAAAAAGTAATCTGCTAATCTTGTATAGAAGTGAGGTTCTTATATTTATCAATCAGATCTTTCTATAATATATCTGAATGATATCATAGAGCAGTTGAAAACCAGTTCAGATGAGATGAAATTATTCATATAAAAGTAATGAGCTGTGTGAAACTGTAATAAGACCTTGACACAGCTGAGAGTATGACAATACTCTTCTCTTTAAAAGTATAGTCTCTATGCTCTCAAGATTACTGAATTAGAAATTATCTTTGTTGTATAGCAATGATTGTCAACTGATTAACAGTGTATATACTGTGTGTGATACAAAGAAATAGATGAGTTTTTCTGCTGACTGTGTAGATCTTTCTTTATTCATCTTCATTTAAATCAAATATGTGATAAGTGAGTTTCTTATATATCAATTTGAGATGAAGAAAATGTAGTTAATAAGTGACTTACAGATCTCTCATTATATTCTATTCTATATATAAAATTCTCTGCAAAAGTGATGTATTTTAGAGACAAAGCTAACAGTAGTGACAGGATTTTTTCAAAAAGATCTTTCTCTCTGTGAAACATTTTTCTTTCTCTCTCTCTCAATTACAACAGTGAGTGCATGAGAGTATCATTCTTGAAGAATAATAAAGAGCTTATTCTGATATTCTCTAGTGAGTAAATGTCTTTATGATGCAGCTGCAGCCTTCATAACTGTCAAGAAAGCCCAGTTGAAGGTGAAGACAGTAGTGTTAACAGACTGTGAGAGCACTGCTCTCATTGTCACATCTTCTTCTTCTTCTCCTCCTGCTTCTCTTGCAGTCATGATGACAGTCACTATGCCTTGCAGTGAGGTATTATCTCTTCTGCTGATTGATTCATCTGTGTTCAGTTCTTCTTCTACTTCTCTCATTACTGTTGCAACACCACCTTCTCTCTCAATCAACACAGTGATGTATGACCCTGTGTAATCATTCAGAGAGAATCTCAGAGAGAGCTTGATTCTGAGAACAGTAGCTCTGAGAAGCTCAATCTGTAGTTCTTCTTCTGTGACATGTCTGAGCCCTGCTCAGAATGCTGCTAGATTGAGTCTGCAGAGTTCTGCAGTTCCTTTATCTTCTTCTTATAAAGAGGCTTCAGTGTGACTTCTGACTGATATCATTATCTGTCTGCACTACACTAAGCAGCTGAAGAAGAGAGGGATTTTATACACTTATCTCTTCTCTCACTTCTGTTGTTTCTGTTGTATCTGTAACAATGACTTCTGTCTCTCTGTAAGTATTACCTACTCTACAAGAAGGCATTATATTGACTCTGACAAGAAGCTCAGATATTCAAGCAGTACAGAGTGAGAGTCTCAGAGCTTCAAGTGTTAATGAATTCTGTCAAGACTGAGGAGATTTCTCTTACTCATCTGTAAAAGAAGATGAAAGTGTGAATCTCTGAGATGAAAAAACACCTCAGAATGACTGACTCTAAGAAGGAGTCAGCTGATGCTGCTGTTGAAAGTATCACAGAGATCAATTATTAATTGAAGAGAATCTCACTTTAATTGAAGCAGATAACTGAGATACTTTATAAGTTGATAAGTTAATATTTTATATATTTCTCATACTCTTCTGTAGTGCTGCAGCACTAACTTCTTGACAGACAAAGATACTAGTGCTGAAGACTTCAACAGTGAAGAATGAGTTTGATAAGAGTATGATTGTTAATGAGTAGGCTCTGATTTCTCTTTTTACTTTTTCAGCAGACTGTAGTCTCATTAGAATAGCAGTGATCTGCAGATCAATAATATTAATCTTTTTATTAATTTCAAATATCTCTTTTCTTTTAACTGCTTCAGAAATTTTACACTTGTGTAGTCTCATTAAACTTCTAAAAATTCTTTGAGAGAAAATAGAAGAAGAGTGCTACAGAGTCTATAAGACATCAGCTCATCACTGCAAGATCATCTCTAAAAAATTCTTTGAAAAAAATGAGAAGTCTTAAGCAGCATTTCTTGTTCAATATCTCTGATGTGTAACAGAATAATCTCTACTAGCTATCTCATAGCTTGTAATCTCTTTCTCAGCATTTTTCAAATGCTTAAGCAGTTTTCATGAATTCTCTGATAATGAATAATCTTTTCATTTAACAAGGTATTGAAGCTTGCTGTAATATATTCACTTATTCAATATTTTCTTCATAAGATATTCAGTATCACTCTCAATCTCAATATTATTCAGCTGAGATAGCTCTGTCTCAGAGTATTACTTATAGAGCTTTAAATAGAAAATGTGAAAAACAGAATGAATTGATTTCAATTCTGTGAGTAATTTCAACTCATATATCTGCTTATTCATCACTCTTATTACTGAGAAAGATTCTAGTCATCACTCACTGAGCTTCTTACACAGTCTCATTGTCTTGATATTCTTTGCTGAAAGTAGTACTTAATTCTATATCAAGAACTTCATTGAAAGATGTTTTTAATTATAGTATTCTATCTATTACTTCTAGACATGATGAATGCTTTTCACTGTCTTCTTATGAATTTTGTTCAAAAGTTTCAATCTCACTTTTACTTTTAATACTGAGAAATACTTCATTCTCTGTATCTGTTCAATATTCTGACTATCTATTCTCTTCTTTAGAACATTGTCTGTGACATCACTAAGTAATAAAGAATTATATTTATAACAAGTATAAAAAGAAGATATCTTTAAGATTGCATTCTTTGCATTGTTATATATGAATTCAGTGATCAGAAGATGTTTGAGTCAATCATTCTGATAATATAAATAGAACACTCAAAGATGCTGTTCTAGTATCTGATTCTGATGTTCAGTCTGATCATTGATCTGCAGATGAAATGTAGTACTGAGAAGATATTTTATCATAAAATGATAGTAAAAAGCTGATCAGTATTTGCTAGTGAAGAGGAATTCTTGATCTGTTATTAATGATTTTGAAGCACTGTGATTACAAATGATGATATCTAAAAACAGATCAGTCAATTCAGAGGCTTTAATCTTTTTATAAGTAGAAATATATCTGATTATCTTTATAAAGTAATTAACAATGACTAAAATTAAGTCATATTCTTTAACTCTTGTTGACTTCAGTAGGTCAACTATGAAATTCATTGATAAATTCTATCATGAGCTCTTTGAAACAGGCAGTAATATTAACTCACTGTATTACTTATATCACAGAATCTTTATTCTTTAGCAGATATTATAAGTTTCAATATACTCTTTAACATCTGTTCAGAGCTTATTCTAAATATATTTATATTTTAGAAGCTTCTCAGTCTTCTCTAATCTGAAGTATTCTGCATGAGAATTATCATGATAAATTCTCAATAACTTCTAGCATATCACTCTGCTATGAGAAATGAAGACTGAATTATTCAGTAGTAGAAGTTCATATTCTTCTAGTTATCAGTGACTTGATTTCTTAGCAGCACTGCTCTGCTCAGAGTCTGTCTCTTTCAAGTTCAAATCAGATTCTTTCTTCTTTAACTTCTGAATTCAAGCTGTAGTAGAGGCATTCTTCTTCTATAACTTATTAATAAATTTCAAAAGTAGTCAGATTGAAAGATTGTAGACTGTTTCATTCTTTGTCAATTCAATAATTATAAGATATAATATAAGAAGCTCATGATCTTCAGTGTCAGTTCTCTGCAGAGATTCAGGTTTTCTTTTATCTTCTATACTGAGTTATGCAGCTGCCTCTTCAGCACTGTTTCTGAGCTTCAGAGAATCTCAATCCTCTGCAGTCAGCTTCTTCTGCAGTGATGACAGAGATTCTTTTATAAAATTCTTCTTCATATTAATGATATTATAATCAGGCTGTCTAGACAGTGTATTGATGAGGTTAAGCTGATCTGAACAGTATCAGATATAGAAATCATACTCTGAAAGCAGCTCTGTTCATCTGGCTTGACATTCTGTCAAGCTCTTTATTGTTAAGAAGTAATGCAGATTTGCATTATTAGTAAGAACTTACACTGAGTACTTACTACTCTGAAGATAATGTCACTAAATCTTAAAGAATTTGATAATTGCTAACATCTTCTAATCATGAGTATCATATCTTCTCTGTGTGAGTGATAACTTCTTGAAGAAGAAGATCACTGATCTTCATTCATAATATCTTATAGACTTTATGAAAAAGTCTTCTCTCACAGATAATTCATTATCTGTTTTCTCAGAAGTGATTATTCTCTGATTCTTTCAATGTTGAAAGATCTTCAGTGTCAACTGTGAAAAGATTTCATAGATCTTATTTCTGAATGTATCAGTCTCACACTGACTGAGTAAGTTAAGATTAAAGTGATTTAGTATTATGATATCTGTGAAAGCTTGTTTCTATTCTACAAATGCCTGTGTGATGTCTTGAGTGAGAATAAATAGTTTTATTTTCCTGTCTTTCACACTTCTCTTTAACAGATCTGTAAGAGAGACAGTAATCTGTGAATATATATAGATGAATTGTCTATAGAAATTCATAAATTCTAGAAATATCTGTATCTTGTAATATGTCTGCAGCACTGATCAGTTCTTAATGATAAAGACTCAGCTTCTGTTCATTGAAATGCTATTCATCTCAACAATATAATCTAAGAAATCAATCTTCTGCATGTAGAACAAGCATTTTTCAGTGTTTGTATAGAGTTAATACTGTCTTAAGTGACTTAACACTTCTTGAACATGAGTATCATGTTCTTCCTTCATTTTTGAGAAGATTAGAATGTTGTCTAAGTATACTATATAGAAGATATTGACAAGGCTCTGCAGTGCCTTATTTATATAGATCTGAAAGATGACTGAAGTATTACAAAGATTAAAAGATAAAACAAGATATTCAAAATTGCTGTACTTGGTATGAAAAGCTGTTTTTTAAATATTATCTTCATTAACTCTGATTCTATGATAAATATTCTGTATATTAATCTTTGAGAACATCTTTACTTCAGATAATTGATTGATTATCTCATCAATCAATGATAATGAATAGTGATTCTTAATCATCATCTTATTGAGATCTCTGTAGTCTATGCATAGATGTAGTCTATCATTCTTCTTAAGTATAAAGAGTATAGATGCTTCTGCTGAACTCTTTAATGAATATATTCAGTTCTTTGATTACACTTCTTCAAGGTATTTATATAGAACATTCAATTTCTTTACAGATAAGTTGTAAAGAAGCCTGTATAATACTGTTGTACTGTCTTCAAGATAAATCTTATATTATATCTTAGTATTAGAAAACTTCACTACTTCTCTTTCTGAAAAGATATTCTTAAAATCTATAAAGAGATGTTATATATGTTCATCTTCAATGATGAATACTGCTACTAATCTTGTAGTGAGAGTGATGACTTCTTCATCTATTCTCAAGTCTCAATCACCTGCTATACAGTATATTGACTTAATCTTTTTCTCAAGATTTTTCTGATAAAACTCTTCAGATTTCTCTATCACTGTCTCTTCATTAGTGAGATGATACTGTCATATCTCAGTGACTCAGTCAATGAGAGAATTGTTTTCTCTCAATTATAGAAGATCTAGAATAATGTTCTTATCTATAATGTTAACTGTGTGAAGAAGCAGACTGCTCTTCTTAAAGATTTCTTCTGAGTCTGTAATCACACACTTCACTTGAATTATGTCAAAATAATGACATTTTATTTCATCAGTAAATTTCATATAATCTGATAAATCTATCTTCTTTCAACTCTTCATCAAAGAAAAGAAATAGAATATAAAGTTGATATTCACTCTGAAGTTGAGTAGGCATCTCACTAATATCTTCTTATTTGAAATATACATTGTGATTATAATATAAACTTGAAGATGTGAGAATTATTAATTCTTTTCTTTCTCTTCTTTATCTTCTGTGAATACATTTGTCAGAAGAGAAGTT